AAATTCCCCGAAGACCCTGCATAAACGGAGTCGGGTTTGTCAACCTCCTCAGACGAAACTCTGCCCTTTAGTATAGTCTCGTTTGTGTTCCTTTCTGCCCGAAAACAGAATTCGACGTCGTGAGTTTGCCCAACCCTAAGCTGGAAAAGAAGCGGTATTTCCCCAAGCTACCCATTGAGCTAGACGTGGCACAAGGCCGGCTTTACGTGGGTTTTTCCGAACCCGTAGGCCCGGGCAAAAATTCCACATAGACCCCGCATACAAGGGGTCAGGTTTGTTAAGCATCTTAGACGAGGCTCTGCCCTTCGGTATAGCCTCGTCTGGATTCCTCTCTGCTCCAAAGCAGAGAGTTCAACCTCTTGATGCTTGCTCAAGCCTAAGCTGGAAAGCAAGTCCTCTTGGGACCAACACCATAGAATGCTTATATTGAAATAGTCCATTCAATATGGGTGTATCAGTTCTTTATATACTGGGGGGTTATCAGTTTGTTCCCTACAACAATTATCAATATCATTCTCCCACGTCTCTTCTTTTTCTCTTTCCTCCATCTTTGTCTCCTTAATTTTCTCTTTTCTGTAGTTTTTCTATTCTTCTCAGATAACCACCCACACATTCTTCGATTATTTTCCATGCTTTAACATGTCCTTCTTTAATTCTATCAATGTTTTTTTTTTTTTTTTTCATTTTCGTCTTTCTTTCGTTCGCTTCCAGTTTCCGTCTTCGTTCTCATTCTCATTTTTGACTAAACCTTTCTCGTTCTTCGCTTTCTTTTTCTCATTTACATCCTTCTCCTCCTCCCTCTCCTCCTCCTCCTACTACTACTACTACACTTCCACCGCCTCTTCCTAATTCTATACATGGATTTTTCCCTCTTTTTTTTTGTTTTTTGTTTTATTTTTTTCTTCTCCGCCCCATTTGCTTTTTTTTCCTTTTTCCCTTCTTTTTTTTCTTTCTTAAACTCCTCCTTCCGCAACTTTTCTTTCTTTCTTTGTACTTTCTATATTTCAGTAACATTTAATTTCTTTCTTTCTTTGTAAAATTTTATACATATTTTCTTTCTTTCTTTCTTTCTTTCTTTCTTTCTATGTAAAACTTTATACATATTGTTTTTCTTTATTTTAAAACCTTATACATATTTTCTTTCTTTCTTTATTTCATGTTAAAACTTTATACATATTTTCTTTCTTTCTTTCTTTCTTTCTTTCTATGTAAAACTTTATACATATTGTTTTTCTTTATTTTAAAACCTTATACATATTTTCTTTCTTTCTTTCTTTATTTCATGTTAAAACTTTATACATATTTTCTTTCTTTCTTTCTTTCTTTCTATGTAAAACTTTACACATATTTTCTTTCTTTCTTTGTAAAACTTTATACGTATTGTTTTTCTTTATTTGTAAAACCTTATACATATTTTCTTTCTTTCTTTATTGCTTGTTAAAACTTTATACATATTTTCTTTCTCTCTTTCTTTCTATGTAAAACATACATATTTTCTTTCTTCCCTTCTTTATTTCTTTTAAGTTTTTATATATAATTTCTTTCTTTGTAAATTATACATATCGTCTTTCTTTCTTTCTTTTTAAAACGTTATCTATGTTTTGTTTCTGTCTTTCATTATTTCTTTCTTCGTATTTAAAACATTATATATATTTTCTTACTTTCCTTCTTTCTTTCTATGTAAAACATTGTACGTATTTTCTTTCTTTCTTTGTAAAACTTTATATATATTTTCTATCTTCCATTCTTTCTTTATTTCTTTCATTCTTTCTTTCTTTTATTCTTTCTTTCTTTTATTCTTTCTTTCTTTTATTCTTTCTTTCTTTCTTATTCCCGCGTTATGCTGCCTATTTTTTTTCTCTCCCAACAATATCTTGTCTCCTCCAGTATCGTCCTCAACGCTTCTCAACACGACGTGACAGTTAATGAACGGGTGTGTCCGTTCTCGTGGCGGGCACCGGAAGTAAGTTGTCAGCCGCACCGGAAGTGCCGACATGGTGCGTATGCGCACCGGGAAAAAGCGCCATGCTGAGTCCCTAACGAAGATGGTGTCTTAAAAAATGTCCGCTTGTCCGATGTGACAAGAAACATGTCACACGATGAGTGACCTGTGTAATCAAGCACAGTTACCGCCAAGTAGGTGTTTTGGTCAAACTCTGGATGGGGAAGGAGTGCCAGATCTTTTTTTTTCTGCGTTTTTATACCAGACATCGTATACGCTAAAGACAACTAACTTGATGTTGACTCAATGTGAGTACCTCCATACACTTTTGACAAAAAAATTATATATATATGAAATGGACAAAGTCCGACATTTATTTTAAGACATTTTTTATGTTTATACGTTCTTTTTATAGATACAAATATTTAAGTAAATGCTCTGTTTATAATAAACAGTATTAAACAACATTTACCGGCTTGAATGTCCGAGAAATTTTCATAGAAAATATGCGTCCTCCGACAAGAATCGAACCTGTATCCTATACAGAACCGTAATATAGCCTGACGTGCTTTTACCGATCCAGCCACAGAGGGGCGTTTCGCTTAGCAAGATCGATTTTACTGTCTTTAAATTATAATTCTCCATGATTTCTCTCATACATTCATATCTGCTCGATGCGTATCCAAATGTAAACAAATGACGTCACTCATTATGAAATGGACAAATGCCGACAATTATTTTAAGACATTTTTTTATGTTTATATGTTTTTTTTTATAGATACAAATATTTAAGTGAATGCTCTGTTCATAATAAACAGTATTAACAACATTTACCGGACTGAATGTCCGTTTGTCCATACAAAGGATACAGGTTCGATTCCTGTCGAAGGACGCATATTTTCTATGAAAATTTCTCGGACATTCAGGCCAGTAAATGTTGTTAATACTGTTTATTATAAACAGAGCATTTACTCAAATATTTGTATCTATAAAAAGAACGTATAAACATAAAAAAAATGTCTTTATATATATAAAACAAATGGCCAGAACCTATAGAAAAATTAATTTTATTGTCATAATCTTTTTGCTATTAACCCTGGGATGGTAGTTCAAATGAATTTTTATTGGAGTTCAGCGTATTTCAATTAATCAATTGGTAATTTAACCTTTTTTCAAAAGACAATTTTGCTATAAATTTTACTGATGGTAATTTTACTATAAAACGTTTTTGATGTAATTGAATAACCTTTTACTCCCATGAGTGACTACACTATAGGTAGTAACTACCTATAAGTCAACGGACTACAGAGACTTACTGGAATCTGTTATTCAGATCTTGGCTGCTGTTGAACTCTCTGCCCGAAGGCAGAGAGGAACCCAGACGAGGCTATGCCGAAGGGAAGAGTCTCGTCTGGGGTGGTAGACAGCTACCCGACCCCGTTTTTACGGTATCTATGGGGAATTTTTGCCCGAGCCTAAGGGCTCGGTTTTACCCCGCATTAAATAACAGCGTTGTGCCACATCCTACCTCGCAGGGGGTTGAGGTAAATAACCTTGCTGGGATCTGTTATTCAGATCTTGGCTACTGTTGAACTCTATGCCTTTGAACAGAGGAACCCGGACGAGGCTATGGCGGACGGCAGAGTCTCGTCCGGAGAGATAGACAGACCCGAATCCGTTTATGCGGGTTTACGAGGAATTTTTGGCCGAGCCAACGGGCTCGGATTGCCCCTCATTAAACTCGGCCTTGTGCCAAATCCTTCCTTGTGGCAAGGCAGGTAAATACCGACTAACTGGGATCTGTCGAGTACGACTCATACTTACGCGAGAACTACCAACCTTTCAATAGTAGCACTCACTACTGGATTGACTTGCGACGACCTTGTGCATAACTGTTACTTTTATTCTTATTGTACTGGTTTCTTACAATAAAACTTTTGCTTATTTTATCCACCTTGTTTTTAAACTATATATTCTTATTAGCACAGAATATAATAGTATTGCTGGTAAATTCACTACAAAAGTGTATTGTTGGCAATTTTTTTTAAAACTCTATTGCTGGTATTTTTACTATAAATATGTATTTTTATACTTTCCTAGTGTTTTGATTTTTGTTTTGGGTTCACTATTTACACATAACTGGGACCCTAACAGGTGTTACCACCACGGGTCAAGGTGGACCTAGAAACAAGATAAATTAAGAGGTGGTTCCATGCTCCTTAAAACCTCCAATATCTAGAGTAGAGGCCTTGCTGCCGGATTAATTTTATCGTCATTCCTAAAACTATAGGTAAAGATGAATTCAGACCTTTTCCAAGTAAAATAAAAACAGTCTACGCCTGAACCTGAACCTGAACCTGAACTCGGATCGGCAATTTCACCCATAACCGTTAAACTACGTAAATATCCATATACACTTTTTTAATCATTTCAACCCAAGCAAGACAGTAATGCCACTAGCATGCAGGAGGTTTAAGGAGGTGAAATTGAAAGTGAAAGTGAAAGTGAAATATAACACTGAGAATAGGGAGTATTGAGGAAAAGACCGAAAAAAAATGAACAGTGTTCAATAAGCCATAAAATGGTGATTGACGCTGCATTTTAATTTTTGAAGATTGCAGTTATCAGAGAAGAAAGGAAACGAAAGGCAGTTCAACTGGTGGAAAGTGCAAGAGAAGAAACTTTTGGAATCGAAGTGGCGGTTACATTTAGTTATCTCAACAGAAAATAGGTGGTACCTAACTGCCAATCTAGTAGCACGCTTAAATTCATGTAGACGGAGCACCAGGGAGAAAAGCTCGTCAGAACAGTTGCCATGAAAATATTTGTAGAAAAGACAGAGGGAAGCCACACCACGTAGGTGAGAAAGTCAAGATGCCAAGTCAAGATCGATTACATTACAGATCCATCTTTGGATTTTGTCAAGAAGCTTGCGATGAATAGCAAGAGCACTACACAAGATATGGCAGTGGTATTTAACGCATGGATGAATGGTAAATTTGTAAATGTGCAAGATGGACTCTGACAAGAAAGATTTTCTGGTGTGACAAAGTCACCCAACTTTCCTTGCAGTAGATGCAGCTATTGATTCAATCTAGTCGCTCCACTTTAAGTCAGTTGAAAATGTGAAGTCAAGAAGAAGACGTAGTGTGTTGCTGTCCTGGAGGTTAGCATCAGTCATGCTGATTGCAGACAGAAAAGAAAAACTTGACCGCAGAAAGACACAAAGGAAATAGATATTAAAAAAGAAAAGAAGTATTCGATTAAAATATTGGCAAATAAACTTGAAAGTATCTTCCAAAAGATTGATTTTTACGGCTTATCAAACTTTTGGCGTTTATTTAAAACCAGAAAACATTTTTGATTATGAGAATTTTTTCAGCTAATAATGATTTTTACTGATAAAAGTCCTACAAATTGGTCCATAGCTGGGGGTGGGGAAAGAGATAGATCGCTACCTTTCCAAAATATTTGCGAGTAAGGGAATATAATAAACCCAACTGGAATTGGAACTCAGCTTACTGATTAACAATTCCGAGCCGTTAAGATTCACATAACCCGGACATCTAAGCTTACAGCACATGGTATTCCCAAGCAGTCACCTACCTAGGTACTGACAAGGCTTGACATTGCTTAACTTACGTGATCGTACGAGAACCGATCTTTCAACGACATATGGCCGTAGGAACTTTACACAACCCGGATCATCAAAGCTTATAGCACTTGGTATTCCCACGCGGTCAACCACCTAGGTAATAACCAGGTTCAACATTGCTTAACTTAAATGATCCTACGAGAACCGATCTATCAACGAGATATGGCCGTAAGCCTTTTGCACAAACCGCATCATCAAAGCTTACAACAGCTGGTATTCCTATGCGGTCACCTACCTAGGTAATTACCAGGCTCGACATTGCTTAACTTAAATGATCCTACGAGAACCGAACTTTCAACGAGATATGGCCGTAAGACATTTATACAACCCGCATCATCAAAGCTTACAGTAGCTTGTATTACGTTGAGGTCACCCACCTAGGTAATAACCAGGCTCGACATTGCTTACAACACCTGGTATTCTCAAGTGGTTTCACACCTATATACTGACATCACTTAGCTTCGGTGATCTTAAGGGAATCTGTATTTTAACGTGATCTGGACGCATGCCCAGTTGAAAGAGAGGCTCAAAAGACTTCACAAAGAACTGGACTTGTGCCAGACAAAACTAGGCTTCGTAAGTATCAACGATTTGATTCTATTTTTAAACCTTACCTTTCTATTTTCTGTTGCCCTTTATTGTACCTAATTTTGCGTTTATTTATTTTCCCTTTTTTTTTATTCCTTTATTTACAGTTGCAGATATCCCTTGCATCTGTCTTCCTTCGATATTTCTTCTTTTGTTTCTTTGTTTGTTCTCCAATGAATTTATTTTGGGGACACCCTAAAGCTTTCTGACGACGGCGAGGCTAACTTTGTTAAACACCATGCGTGATGTACGAAGGTGGACAACTGGGGAGAATAAAAACGATTTGCCGTTTTTAGATCGCTGGTTTGTTAGGCGAGAGTGTTTACTTTTATTTTGTTACGTTGAGAGGTAAAAATCGAGACTGGACCGAAAGAAGCGGACAAACGTGTATGCATAAACATGGTGCAGGGGTCAAAGTAAATTAAAAGCAAAAAATACGGAAAAGGAAAAGAAAAGAAAGACCACGGAAAGTAAGAAAGTAAATAAGACAGACATACGTACAATAGGATGTGAGGTACGAAAGAAAGAAATGAAAAGAACAAACAGATAGACGCGTAATACGAAAGAAAGAAAGAAAGAAAGAAATACTAAATAAAAAGAAAGAAAGAAATACAGACAAACAGACGCGAAATACGAAAGAAAGAAAGAGACACTTAAAAATAAAAAAAAGGAAAGAAAGAAAGACGCGAAATACGAACGAAAGAAAAACAAAAGAAAGAAAGTAAGAAAGAAAGACTGAGAATTATAAAAGAAAGACCGGCCGACGTAAAGTAACAAAGAAATAAAGACGTACAGTTGGCTGTGAGGTACGAAAGAAAGAACTGAAAAAGAAAAACAGACGCGAAGTACGGAAGAAAGATTAAGAATTAAGAAAGAAAGAAAGAAAGAAAGAAAGAAAGAAAGAAAGAAAGACTAAGAATTAAGGAAGAAAGAAAGAAAAAAAGAAAGAAAGAAAAAGAAAGAAAGAAAGAAAGACTAAGAATTAAGGAAGAAAGAAAGAAAAAAGAAAGAAGCTAAGTACAAAAGAAAGAAAGAAAGAAAAAGAAATAAAGAAAGACTAAGAATTAAGGAAGAAAGAAGAAAAGAAAGAAAAAAGAAGCTAAGTACAAAAGAAAGCAACAAGCAAAAAGAAAGAAAGAAAAAAGAAAGAAAGAAAAAAGAAAGAAAAGGAAAGAAAGAAGCTAAGTACAAAAGAAAGAAGCTAAGTACAAAAGAAAGAAAGAAAGAAAGACAGAAAGAAAGAAAGAAAGAAAGAAAGAAAGACTAAGAATTAAGAAAGAAAGAAAGAAAGAAAGAAAAAAGAAAGAAGCTATGTACAAAAGAAAGAAAGAAAAAGAAAGAAAGAAAGAAAGAAAGAAAGAAAGAAACAGTGAGAATTTCAAAAAGAAAGAAAGAGGAAAATGGCTGGTTAAAACTAAAATGGAAGAATGAGAAAAAATAAAAGGGAAGAATAAATTTTTAAAAATGGATGAATGAAAAACAAAAGAAAACATGGATGTCTCAAAAAATAAAGGAAGAGAAAGATTTTTTTAAAAAAAAAAGACAACAAATAAACAGAAACATTTATGACATGCTGCAAAGCGAACGCGTAATCCGAACAACGACGAAAATGAAATGCACACTTAAAACCTCGTATGAAATCTCGTCGAATTCTCGTTTCGTTTTTTCATGTGTTTATTTATTTATTTATTTATTCAGCTTTTTTTCTAATCTTGTTTTATCTCTTTTTCGTTCACTAATTGAATTATTCCTTAAATATTTGATTTTTTTTTCATTCTGCACGAACTAACAATTTTTATCCTGTGTCCTGAACGTAATGGCGGCCATGACTGTGTTGTCGTCTGCATAATAACATTTGACTTCTTTCCTCGAAACAAAGACGAAAAAAAGAGACCCTACTTGAGTGTGTCGCTGAGTTTATCAAGAGGGACGTGAACAGTGCTAATAAATGCTTATGAGTTTTAAGTACGCGGTATTTGTACGTGTGGCGTGACCTGCAATAATAAAAAGACGTTGTTTGTTGGAGAAAGGAATGTGTGTTTTCTGCTTGTGTGGCTTGACTTGAGTAAAAGCATAGACGAATTGCTACATAGCAAAACGGGACACGAATTAAAGACGTAAATAAAAAAGACTGGCTTAGATTCTGCGATGTAAACAAAGAATGAAAAAAGAAAGTAAGAATAAAAAAAAAAGTTCGGGAAATGAACAAAGACAGTGAAAAACAAAGACGATTAAAAGAAAAAAAAAGGAAAACGTTTCTCTTAGAGAAAGTTATCCAAAAGAATCAGGCTATTAGGGTTGCAAAGGCAACACACGTACTTGTGGGATGTCTAAGGCTGGTTTTGAATTTATGGTTTCCCTTCTTTCTAGATGGATTGCCACTTTAAGGAAAGAGACCTCAGTCTGCACTGTTATCTAAGGCATAAGTTTAGGAAGATGGATTCGTGCTTTTCTCAAGGGCATTAGTGTGAAATGAACAAAAATCGACCAGAAATCGGATTCCTGGCGCCGATGTCACGCAAAAATACCATTACACCATACACACATCCTCATACATAAGTAACTTGCCATCAATATTTTGAACATGTACTCAGAAAAATCAATAACGTTTTTTATTTGTTTCTTCGTCGACTTTGTCACGTTAAAGTTGACATAAAAAAAGATGAGGTGAACTGTGACCTTATTTAAACCTCCGATCAGGTGGTAAACGACATACCAATACGTCAAGGTTCTGTCGTAGAAATATTCGAGTAAATTAGCTTAGAAGTACGAACTTCGGTTATATTATTATTATTGTCATCATCATCATCATTCGATTTCTGCTATGGACACACTACCTACCAAGTCTGCGGAAAGACCTAAGGCAGGTCGTGGTGTGTTGTTATGGCCACATTTCATGTTAATTTTTTTTTTTTTTTTTTATCTCCGGTGAAATTGCTAGCGTTACATAGACAAAGTTCTCCTTAGTGTGTGTGCTGTACTTAATAAGACAATTTTCTGTATGTCTCTTAAGCTGGGGTTTCCAGGGATTCTTTCAATGTGTTGTTTTGTTCCATTTTTATAATTCCAAGTGCACCTATTACCACTGGTATTATTCTTGTTTTCAATTTCCACATTTTTCTATTTCAATTTCCAGGTCTTTGTATTTTGATAGTTTTTCAAATTCCTTGGTTGCTATGTTACAATCCGCTGGACAAGCCATATCAATTAGTAGGCAAGTTTTTTCTTTCTGGTTTTTTGACAATAATGTCCGGCCTATTTGCTTCAATTTTTCTGTCTGTGTGGATGGTATAATCCCATAGAATGGTGACATCTTCTATTTCTGTAACCGGCGCTGGCCGATGTTCATACCAGTGTTTGCTTACACATTTTCCAAAGTGTTTGCACATTGTCCAGTGTAAGTATTGCCCCACTCTATCGTGACGATTTTTATATTCATTTGGGGCAAGTATAGAACATCCTGAGATTAGATGGTCTATTGTTTCTTGGTATTTGTCACAGAACCTGCATTTTGGATCCACATTATTATGTATGATATTTGCCTGAAAATTCCTAGTGAAAAGACTCTGGTCTTGCGCTGCAAGAATAAAGCCTTCAGTTTCAGACTTTAATCCAGATGCTCGTAACCATCGATGAGTATTAACTTTATCAACATTGGGTTTATTTGCACGTTCTGGATATTGGCCATGCAGAGGTTTGTCTTGCCAGCGTTGTTTCATCTGTTCAAGGGCTTTATCCTTGGCTTTCTTTTTCATATCTTTTGCTGCAATAGTTGGTTCTTGGCTTCTGTTTTGATTTACTACAGAATCTACTAAATGTAAATGTTGTTTGTATTTACTGCCTTCTTTTATTATTGAATATTTTTTTTTTTTCTGTTTTCATGTTGTTTCACTAATTTTATCATCCAGTCATTTGTTGTTTCCATGTAAGTTAGTAAGCCAATAGTTGTTGTCTTGTATGACAATTCTAGCTGAATAAGACCTCTTCCACCTTCTTTACGGGGTATGTATAGACGGTCTACATCAGCCTTTGGATGATGCATCTTATACTTAGAAAGAAGCTTTCTTGTTTTTTAGAATCCATTTGTCTGATGTCATTTAGAGTCCAGTTCAAGATGTTGAAACTATATTGGACCACTGGGATGGCTAGGTTATTAATGGCCATAATTCTGTTCTGAGAATTCAATTCAGTTTTAATACCAGTCGTACCCTTCTATAGTACTCTTTACGCACTATTTTTTCTTTCATTTTCTTATGGTGAATTCCTTCACTCTCATTTACACCTAGGTACTTATAAGCTTCTCCTTGTTCTAAATCTTTTATTGTTACAGCAGGGTCTAAACTAATAGAGGAAGTTTGTTGTAGCGATCCTCGTAAAACTGTAGCTTTAGCACATTTATCCAAATTGAATTTCATTCCGATGTCTTCACTGAAGCATTTTACAGTTTGCAGAAGACCTTCCAGCTCATTGTCATTCCTAGCATACAATTTTAAGTCATCCATGTAAAATAGATGGTTTATTTTCTTTTGAGCTATTTTGTAACCGCATTCTGTCTTGTTAAGTTGGCTGGTTAATGCTATAAGTGATATGCAAAATAATAAAAGGAGACAAAGAGTCACCTTGAAATATTCCTCTATTGATGTTTATTTCGCCAGACTTATAGGTTCCATTTTTATGATTGAGGTAAAGTGTAGTTTTCCATATCGACATACATTGTTTGATGAAATTGATGATAACGGGTGATACCTTGTACATACTTAAAGACTTTAAGATCCAGGAATGTGGTACACTATCGAATGCTTTACGATAATCTATCCAGGCAATACTAAGATATTTTTTTCACGGAAGCAGTTTTCCAGGATCATCCTATTAATAAGTAATTGGTCTTTACATCCGTAGCAGCCTCGTTTGCACCCTTTTTGTTCAAGTGGTAGTATGTCATTTCTTTCAAGAAGAAATATGTCTGTTTTGTTAAAATAGATGTTAACAGTTTGTATGTTGTTGGAAGACATGTAATTGGTCTATAGTTTTTTTCGGAATATTTGTGTCACTATTTTTTGGGTAGAAGAAAGGTAACTCCTTTGGTCATCCATGCAGGAATTTTAGTTGGATCGGTAACCATTTCTTGAAGTTCTTTGGCGAGTTTTTTTGTGTGCTGTATTTAAATAATATAGCCAGAAGTTAGGAATTTTATCTATTCCTGGAGATTTCAGTTGTGTGCTTTTTTCAGTGCACATTTAACATCTTCTTCTGTGATTCCCGCCCATGTCTGTTCTGGTTTATTTTCATTCGTTCTAACTCTTGCGCAATCCAATCTGCCTCTTCGTTGTTGTGTTCTTTAGGGCAAGCCCATATTTTTCCCCAGAACTGTATAACTTCTTCCATTTTAGGGGGACTGTCACTTCAATTCTTTGTTTACCTATTTCCCTGTAAAATTTCTTTGCATCGGTTTGAAAGATCTTGTTCTGTCTATAGAATCTTGATCTTTTCTCGTAGCGTCTTATTCTTTGAGCCTTCAGTTGTATTGTTTGCTTTATTTTTTCTTTAGTTGATAGGACTTCATTTTCATTCCTAATATTGTATTTTTTTTCGACTCTTCTGCCTTTTCTAGTTCTTACATTTACTCCTCTTGCTAGTTCATCGAGTACTGATAATTCACTTCTAAGGTGTTCAATTTCTTTTTCTATTTTTCTTTTCCAAGGTGGATCTTCATGTCTGTGAGACTGCCTTTTTTTTTTTTTTTGATGTTCAGTTTATTTGTTGCTGCTATTGCTGATGCATATATTGCTTCATTGAGATTTATATGAGTGTCTTCTTCATCCAGAATCAATTTGAGTGCTGCATTATAGAGCTTAATAGTTTTGAGGTTATGCTTTGTTGGTTGTAATTTTGGGAGTTGTTCTCGTTCCTCCATTGCAATATTCTGTATCTGACTTATATGGCTCATGATTTCATCCTTGGCTTCTTGTATATTAATCTTGTTTTTCTGTGAAATAATTCTGTTCGATGAATTTTGAACTCGTTTTATTACCGTCTTGTGACTGACTAAGATCATACCTTTCCAACATTTCTAAATTTTCAGCATTATCTTCACAGTGATTTGTGTGTATTTCGGTTTTTTCATTATGACCTGAGGCTTGTGTGATGTTACTACTTTTTTTCCTGATTCCGGTTCCTTTTCATGTTTTGTTGGTTCATCTATTCTTGTTGCAATTCTTTTTATTTCATTAATTTCAGCCTCTGTCAATCGGTTATTTCGCATGATGTCCCTTCTTACATTGGCTAGTTTATTTTTTGTCTATGTACTTTCTAATTGTTTGCCCAACCTTCTCTCGCCAAATGTCATATGTTTGGCGAGTGATGTTTTTCTGAGGTTTGAGTAACGCTTCATGGAATGCAGTCATAACAACTTTGTACTCCTCACGAGACCATTTTATTTTTTTTTTCCTTAAATTTACGGTTATGGATCTAGCTGGAGAATTTACAGGACCATCATTAGGATTATCCTGGTTGTGGGGACCTGAAGATTCATTCTTTGTGTAGGAGTTTGTTCCTATGGCAGATTTTTCGACCTCAGGTAGGTTCCCTCCTGAAGGACGGGCCCTGTTTATCCACTGGAAGAGCCATACTGGACGTTTTGTTTCTATTTTTAATTTTCATATTAATCCCACGAGTGACGCACGGGTCCAAAAGTCCACCCAAAGTTGCCCGGCACGTTGAGTAACGGTCTTTTACAGACAGGGTTCCGAAGCCTGTAGGGGATCGTTCGCGACCTCATAACGCAGTAGCCATTCACTCCTCGGCACGATTAACACCTTGAGTTGCGGGTTGTTGTTCGGAGTTTTCCTTCTCCTAAATGGGTTGCCAAGCAACAATAGACAGAGACACGATTGGAAATCAAAGAGAATGACGCTGGTTAAAAAAAAAAAAAAAAAAAAAAAAGTTTACATTCGTTTGTCTTTGCTGTGAAATTTAAAATAATTTATTGGCCCATCTGTAAATTCCACGATATTCCTTCTTAGAAAGATTGCATTTTCTTTTCATAAATTCATAAAATGTAATATGTAAATGTAAATTCCGTTATTTTTAAAAGTCGTTGAAAATAGCGTTGTTTTAAAAAAAAAAAAAAAAATGCAGTCCTTCTAAGAAAGAACATCGTAGAAATTGTATTGTTTTTTACCTGTAATGTTTTTTTGCAGGGGTGGATATTGAAAACTAAGGGATATGTGAATGAGAAAATTAAATAATTGATTAATCTATCAGTATTATTTAAAGGAGAACCAAATAAATTAAATAATAATAATACGAAGAAAAATTCATGCTTACGCTAAAATAGTAAAAATAACAAAATTTCATATGCGTTAAAAAAAAAAACTTGGAAGAAACAGCCGCTCAACGAAACAAAATATCACTACACTAGAGAGTATTTATATTAAATTTTAATTTTTTTTTTTTTTTTTTTTTTTCGCCATCACTAGTCCTAGTAACAAAAATAATTGTCATAAAAAAATTAAAAGTTTACATTCGTTTATCTTTGCTGTGAAATTTAAGAATAATTTATTGGCCCATCTGTAAATCCGTTATTTTTCAAAGTCGTTGAAAATAGCGCTGTTGAAAAAAAATACGCAATCCTTCTAAGAAAGAATATCGTAGAAATTGTATTGTTTTTTACCTGTCATGTTTTTTGTTTTTTTTGGGGATATTGAAAACTGAGGATATATGAATAAGAAAAATTAAATAATTGATTAATCTATCAGTATCATTTAAAGGAGAAACAAATAAATTAAATAATAATAATACGAAGGAAAATTCATGCTTACGTTAAAATAGTAAAAATAACAAAATTTCATATGCGTAAAAAAAAAAAAAAAACGTTACGTTTGGAAGAGCTTCTTAAAACACGTCATTCTCGTTGTAATCCCAACCGCGTCTCTTTCTTATTATTATTATTATTATTATTATTATTATTATTATTATTATTTCCTTTGATTTCTGGTGTATACTCATTTCTTTCCGGGTAACAACCAGCGACGTAAGATCAGAAATGGCATCATGACATTTTCCACTGATCATTTTTGAAGGAAAAACACCTAACATCACAACAAATACTTTACACAGATAAAGCCCTTCGTAAGGTGTGGGCTGTACTTGTGAGTACAATTTTTGTATTTTTTTAAGGCTTGGATTACCAAGGATTCGTTCAATGACTCTATCAGAACGTTTTCCAACCAATCCACATGCTCAAAATACAACTAGATTTTTTGATGACCTCAGGTGCCACATTTTTGAAATTTCGATTTCAACATCCTTGTATTTTGATAGTTTTTTGAGGATCTTCAAAGAAACATTACAATTTAGTCAGTCAGTTAAGTACGGTGCTTGATACACGTTTGGGCGACTAACTAAGCAGAAGATTTTCCCGCAGTAGGTTGTCATTTCTTTCTGTGGTAGATTTGTTGCCATCCAAGGCTATAGGACCCATTCTGTCCTGTTATTCAAATCATAGCCGAGGGAAGAAGAGATAAAGCCAGTAAAGTGTCATCACGTGATACACACTTGCGCGATCATGTCTCTTTCGATTCATGACTGACTAGGCAGAAGATTTTCCCTCGATAGGCAGTCGTTTCTTTCTGTGGGTAACTGGTTGCCAACCAAGAACCCAATCTTTCCCGCTATTTAACCCATAGCTGGGTGGAGGAGAAATGTGTTCGTACCTTTCGAAAGGGTATTTGCGTGTAAGAAAATGTAACGTAACCGACTGGAATTTGAACTCGGCTCTCCGATTTATCATATCGAGACGATACTCCAGACACCATTCGTACATCCTAATGATGCGCTTAAATTTGTAAAGCCAAGATACTAAAAACGATAAGATCATCTTTTTTCTTTCTTTTTCTCTTTTGTCTTTCTTTTTCTCTCTTTTTTCTTTCTCTTTCTTTCTGTTTTGTTTCTTTTTTCTCTCGTTTTTCTTTCTTTTTTCTCTTTTGTCTTTCTTTTTCTCTCTTTTTCTTTCTTTTTTCTTTCTTTTTTCTCTCTTTTTTCTTTCTTTTTCTTTTTTTTCTCTTTTGTCTTTCTTTTTCTCTCTTTTTTTTCTTTTTTCTGTTTTGTCTCTCTTTTTCACTCTTTTTCTCTCTTTTTTCTTTCTTTTTCCTTTCTTTTTCTCTCTTTTTTCTTTTTTCTTTCTTTTTTTTCTTTTTTCTCTGTTTTTTCTTTTTTCTTTCTTTTTTCTCTATTTTTTCTTTCTTTTTTCTTTCTTTTTCTCTTTTGTCTTTCTCTTTCTCTCTTTTTTTTCTTTTTTCTGTTTTGTCTCTCTTTTTCACGCTTTTTCTCTCTTTTTTCTTTCTTTTTCCTTTCTTTTTTCTCTTTTGTCTTTCTTTTTCTCTCTTTTTCTCTCTTTTTTCTTTCTTTTTCTCTCCTTTTTTCTTTTTTCTTTTTCTCTTTCTTTTTTGCTTACTTTTTCTTTCTTTTTTCTGCTTTTCATTCCTTATCTTTTTTTATTTCTAATTTTTTTGTCTTTTGTATTTCCTCTTCATTTCCTTCATTTTCTTTTTTCTTTCTTTGAATATCTTTCCTCTCCAGCGTTCATTTCCATCTTATATTGCATTCTTTCTTTTCTATCATTTTTATTTTTTGGTCTTTTTTTCTTTTTCTTTCTATCATTTCTTGTCTTGTATTTATTTCTTTCATTTTTCCTTTTCTTTCTTTCATTCATTTTCTTTCTCAGTTTTCTATTTTTGCCCTCAGTTCTTTGTTTCTTTTTTTTTCTTTTCTTTTTCTCTTTTGTTTTTTCTTTCTTCCATCTTTTATTTCTTTATCCATCTTTTCATTTTCCTTCATTCATTCTTTGTTTCTTTCTTTGTTTCTTTTTTGGTATTCTACTTTTATTTCTCTGAAATGTTCCTCTTTCTTTCTTTCTCTGTTTTCTACATTTCTTTTTTCTTTTAATTTCGCTTGCTTTCTTTCTTTCTTTCTTTCTTTCTTTCTTTCTTTCTTTCTTTCTTTCTTTGGTTCATTCTTTCTTTGTTTTCTTTTTCTTTTTTCTCATCTGTTTCTCATTCTTTCTTTCTTTCTTTCTTTCTTTCTTTGGTTCATTCTTTCTTTGTTTTCTTTTTCTTTTTTCTCACCTGTTTCTCATTCTTTCTTTCTTTCTTTCTTTCTTTCTTTCTCAGACTTCTACTTTTCTTTTTTTCTGTTCTTTTCGCTGACCTGTCCCTCTTTCATTCGTTCTTTCTTTAATTCATTCATTCATTCTTTCTTTCTTTCTTTCTTTCTTTCTTTCTTTCTTTGTTTTCTACTTTTCTTTTCATTTCGCTGACCTCTTCCATTTTTCATTCATTCATTCATTCATTCTTTCTTTCTTTCTTTCTTTCTTTATTTATTTATTTATTTATTTTGTTTTTCTTTTCATTTCGCTGACCTTTTCCTCTTTCATTCTTTCTTTCTTTCTATCTGAATTTTTTTTTTACTTTCTTTTTTTCTTCTCACGTCTCTGACCTGTTCCTCTTTCTTTCTTTCTTTCTTTCTTTCTTTCTTTTTTCTCAGTTTTCTACTTTCCTTTTCATTTCTATGTTTTGTTTCCCTTTCTTTCTTAAAATTTCTCTTTATCTTTTCCTCTTGTCTTTTCCTCTTTTTTTTTTCATTCTGTTTTCCTTTTTCTTCTTTTCCTCTCGCTTCTTTAAATGAATCGTCACACGCCTTTCAATCTATTGAACATTACGAAAAACCAGCCTACATCGATTTCGCCATTTTCTTCCTTCCCCCGAACCATTTAAAAAATCATTTCCAATCAACTAGTCACGTGACTGTTTGAAAATGCTTCTTTCTTCCAAATATTTTCATTTTTCTTCCGATACGAAACGGAGATTTTTTTTTCCCATATTGCACTGGCCTTGACACGTGACGATCAATGATGCAGCATTTTTACTTCTTTTATTCCTTTTTTTGTATTTCCAAGCAGTCAGTATTAACAAACATTTTAACTCGACACGGACATTTTCATATTCAAAAGCATCGTCCTTTTAAAAAAAAATAGACATTCCTTTTTCTTTACTATAATTGTTCTTAATGTTGTTTTTAACACTGGCAAGCTTTTCATGCAAATATATTTATCGTAACTGTTCGGGTTTCAATTCTCGGTAGTGGATGCGCACTGATGATGAGTCCCAAATATAGGACGAAACGGCCGTCCAGGGCTTTCTGCATTCTGTTGAGGTTTCTTCTAGACTCGATGAATTACTTAATTATATATATATATATATATATATACATTCTCTTTAATATATATATATGTATATCCCTTCTCTTTAATATATAGATATATATATGGCAGAAACATTTCTCTTAAACATATTTCAGTAAATATGACAAACAAGGAAGATTTAATTAATTTTTTATTTAGTTTTTTTTTCCAGCATCCTTACTTTTTTCCGTTTAGTAAAGGAGTACAAAAATTTTCCATAATTTTCATTGTTCCAAGCTCTTTCATCACCTCTTCAGCCATTTTTAAGTTTTTGTTTTTTTTTGTTTTTTGTTGTTGTTTTTTTGGTGTTAGTTTATCCTCATGTTTTAACTGTTTATTTGTATTTTATTTCTGTGTTGTTTTAAATAGGAGTGCTTATTCCGATACTTCGCGTGTTGGGTGTGAATAAAATTCATGTGAACATCTTTTTATTTAAAAAAAAACACTTTTAACACTCCATTTCCACTGTTGTATAAGGTGAGGTTGATACTAAAAGAGAGACGTTTAATATACGAGGCCTTTCTTATAGTGAGATGTCTCGGCATATATATATATATATATATATATATATTATATATATATATATATATATATATGAAGAAATATAGATTTAAGGGGTGCTATATTTATGGGATAAAGTGCTCAATATAAGAGATAAGGCGTATGTAAATATAAATATAAAAGTGAACATTGAAGTCAACACTCAGTGGCGACAGGGTGTTTCATTCTAGATGCAATCATCAGGCAGACTGACGATTGCATCTAGTATGAAACACCTGTCGCCTCTGAGTGTTGACATCAGTGTTCATATATATATATATATATATATATATATATATATATATAGAGAGAGAGAGAGAGAGAGAGAGAGTGAGAGAGAGAGTAATTCATCGAGCATAGAAAAAACCTCAACAGAATCCAGAAAGCACTGGACGGCCGTTTCGCCCTGTTTGGGTCTCTACTACCGATCTATTCGATCTCGGACCGTTTCTATACAACGCAAACGTCATACCAACGGTACCACGTACCACGATGTCGAAGAAGAAACTGACTAGACTCGATATAGCGCCAATACTCACTCAGTTCCGTAGTGATACTCCACCAAGTATGCGAATACCCACGGAACAGTACCCCAAGAGCCACGTCTTCTTTTCACACTTAGCCTCTCCTCACGAGCTGGGTCAAGCAAGGAGACGTGGCTCTTGGGCCACTGTTCCGTGGGTATTCGCATATTTGGAGTATAAGGAGGTGTAATGGTTAGCAAGCTTGCTAACCATTGGATCGCCTCGAGGTATTCCCGTGGAATGAAACTAAAAGATGATTTCTTGCCGAATTTGCGACGTGTCTTCTACAAATTCTATTCTATATTTCCGATTTGTTTTTAACAGTCACTTACCCATAAATCTTAAAGTTTATATCCTTCTTTTCAACTGTGTGAAAAATTATTTTGTGTCACCCAAAAATTTAATATAAAAATAACCACCCCTCCAAGTTCGTGGAAAATTCATTTTCCAGACATAAATCTAAAAATATATGCCCACCCCTTTAACTACGTGGAAAATTAATTCGTGCCACCCAAAAGTCTAAAATAAAAAAATAGCCATCGCTTCCAGTACGTGGAAAATTTATTTTCTACCTATAAATCTAAAATATATATACTCACCCCCTCAACTGCGTGAAAAATTATTTTGTGCCACCCAAAAATATAAAAAAATATAGCCACCCATTTCCACTATGTGAAAAATTCATTATACACCTTTAAATTTAAATCTATATAGCCACGAAAAATTAAATATATAGAATGAAAAATTAATTTTTTCAGGGAAAAATTTTAAAAAAAGGTATTCAACCCTTCCACGACGTAAAAAGTTAATATTCTACCCTAAAACCTATAAAAATAGGAACTCCGTTTGAACCACCAAAAAATTTTAAAAATGGAAATACTCGTTTTGAGATTCTTATATGGTGGCATTTTAAATATTTCCCGTTCCACTTGAGTTCAGTTCAACCCCTCAACCAAACATTCCCTTTTATGGCATGTCAAAGTGCAATAAGGTTTACTTGACAGCGCCCATCTTCTCTCCGTGTTACTTGCGACATACTATACTGTATTGCATGGTACCAGCAACAAAGTCTGATATATTGAAATAAAACAAACAGCGACATCAGGATGGGAGAGTGTCTTTTCGTGCATTTGATGCAATCGAGACTATCACTCCCGTGTGGGCCTGTACAGCCATAAAAGTTGTTGCACCTCTGGCAGCAGTTGAGGCATAATTCTTTGGGCGTATATCCTCTCTCTCTCTCTCTCTCTCTCTCTCTCTCTCTCTCTCTCTCTCTCTCTCTCTTGAGAGCGACGGATGCCTCATATATATTGAAAGAAGTAAAACCAACCTCCCTTAGGCATCGCCTCATGTTTTGGCATTAGTTTCGTCTGTTAATGAATATACATATTATCCCTGACCGCTAGCAAGACTGAAGATTGCATTGTGCATGAAACTCCGAGTCGTGCTACCGGTGAGGAATAATATGTATATTTATTAATATATATTTAATAGCTCTGTTATATTACATCGAGCACTGTCTTACTAACACCAGAACTATACGTGCAATATATATACACGGTAGAGAAAAAGGGCATTTTTAACGTAATATATACGTGATGTACACAAATGACATATATATATATATATATATATATATATATATATATACGCATCGGTCTTCAGTTATGAATTGAGCGATATTGGCTACTGTCGTTGAAATACCTCCTCCCCGCAAAAAACAGCTAAATTTTATCTGTGAGCTCACTTTTTATAACTGAAGAGACACGAGTTTTTGCTAGTACGTTTTTATATACATACTAGCTGAATTATCCGTGCATTGATGCTTGTTACACATTTCCTTTTGTAAAGAAATGATGATTGATTTTAAATCATTGTTATAATTTGTGCATGATAAAATGATGCATTTCAATATTACTCAATGATCTTGCCGATATGACCTCCATTTTCTGGCTTTCTCCTTCTATATCTTGGATGAGTCATTCAATTGTTCAAATTTAAATTTAATTTAAATCAAAGGGAAAAAAAATTCAGTAGGGGTCGGTGCAATAACAGCTTGATCTGATCTCTTTGATATGTATTCAATGCAACACTTGATTGAATGAACTGATGAGCAGATTTCAACATTCATATGACAGTTGAATTGTCACAACAAATACATATTGTCCCTGCTACTACCCACTGATTAGTAATTTGTTGCTCAACTTGACTTCCATATTGTTTCATTTTGATCTTGCCGATGTGACCTCCATCTTCTGGCTTTCTCCTATATTTTGAACAGGAGTCATTCCCTTGTTCAAATTTAAATTTAGTTTAAACCAATAGGAAAAAAAATTCACTTGGGAGTTGATGCCGCCTGGGAACCCCTTTGATCAAAATGAAATATACTGGGTAATGTGGTAATAAAAAAAATATATAAATATATATATATATATATATATATATATATATATATATATATACAATAAAATGCAAAATCCCCTCATATGAGAATTAGCTTATTTCGCCAGATGAAGATTTCGGTTATCTGACAATAAAAGGCTATAAGACAAACAACGGATATCTTCGTCTACCGAAATAGGTTATTCCTCATATGAGGGGTTTGTTACCTAACTATATATACATACATACATACACACACACACACATATATATATATATATATATATATATATATATATATATATATATATATATATATATATATACATTTTTATATTTATACATTCTTTTTTATTTTTATGTTTATACAAATATTTAAGTAAAATATTTAAGTTCTTCTGTTTATAATAAACAGTATTAAACAACATTTACCGGCCTGAATGTCCGAAAATATTCATAGAAAATATTCGTCCTCCGAAATTCGAACCTGTATCCTATACGGAACCGTCATATAGCCTGACGTGCCTTTAAGCGATTTAGCCGGCCATAGAGGGCGTTCGGTTAGCAAGGTCGATTTTACTGTCTTTAAACTACAATCTTCCATGATTCTCTCACGTACATTCATATCTGCTCATGGCGTATCCAAACGTAAACAAATGACGTCACACATTATGAAATGGACAAAGTCCGACAATTATTTTTTAAGACAGTTTTATTCAGGCCGGTAAATGTTGTTTAATACTGTTTATTATAAACAGAGCATTTACTTAAATATTTGTATCTATAAAAAGAATGTATAAAAATGTCTTAAAATAATTGTATGACTTTGTCCATTTCATAATGTGTGACATCATTTGTTTACATTTGGATACGCATCGATCAGATATGAATGTACGTGAGAGAATCATGGAAGATTGTAGTTTAAAGACAGTAAAATCGACCTTGCTAATTGAACGATCCTCCGTGGCTGAAACAGTTAAAGGAACGTCAGGCTATATGATGGTTCCATGTAGAATAGAGGCTCGATTCCTGTTGGAGGACGCATATTTTCTATGAAAATTTCTCGGACATTCAGGCCGGTAAATGTTGTTTAATACTGTTTATTATAAACAGAGCATTTACTTAAATATTTGTATCTATAAAAAGAATGCATAAACATAAAAATGTCTTAAAATAATTATCAGACTTTGTCCATTTCATAATATATATATATGTTTTATCCCTCTTTTGTATATATATATATATATATATATATATATATATATATATATATATATATATATATATATATAATTAGATGTTTTCTCCTGCAAATGAGGAGGCAGATTCATTCAAGTCCTGCCGGAGTCTGGCACATTTTCTGTAATGAGTTTTCTCAAGTGTGAAGGCCAGTAGACGAAATAAGCACGTACTTAAATACCGGTATCCACTAAAATGAACGCTTGAAAAAAAAAATATATATATATATGTGTGTGTGTGCGTGTGTGTGTGTGTGTATATATATATATAGTGTATTAAATTAAAGCTACTATACGAATTTTAGAACGACTCATGATCAAACATAATAGACATTCGTTGTCTGTTATATTTAACAATATATATATATATATTTGGTTGGATAGATTTGAGTTTGTGACCCTGGGTTTCACGCTTTAGCGATCGTCAGGAGTTTGTCTGACGATCGCTAAAAGCGTGAAACCCAGGGTCACAAACTCACATCTATCCAACCAAATATGTTAACTCTATCTCTGATATTGAGCGCTTTCTAATAAGTACCATATATAATATATAAATAATTATACATATATATATTTTATTTATATTTATATACACTTTTCACACACACACACACATATATATATATATATATATATATATATATATATATATATATATATATATATATATTATCGAGAGAGAAAGAGAACACAATCAGATAGATAATTAAAAGACAGACAGATAGAAAGATATTGGAATATTATGAGAGACATGAATAGAGGAATAGAGGGGAACATACAGAGATAGATATTTACATTTGTAACCATTTTCAACACAAAAGATGCACCCAATCACCAGCCTATATCATATACGGACGTCATTACATCTTCTCTCACCAATATTCACGCTAGCGTTGTTAGAGAAAAATTGTACGCGTCTTGCAGATTCCATCCTTCAAATCCTAACGGCCGGGTTCTTCCGAAGTACCTCCAGGGAATCGTACCAATCAAGCGGACACAGCGGCCACAGAATTGTAGCCACTACCTCGTCATTAGAGGACGCCTCATCGTAATTATGGCGACGTGGCGGTGAGCCTATCGCAAAATTAGCCTCTAAAATTTCGGTTCTGGTCAAAAGGATCAAACGGTAGAGATTGGGAATATTTGGTATCGGCGCCCTCAGGGGTTTGCTGTGGCGTGGAATCGACTGGCCGTTAGTCCACACACAAGTCTCCCAGATTAACTCGGTGCTAATTCACTCGGCAGGGAGTTTTCGATTCGGGAATCGTTTAGAAAGCCGGGCAGCTTCAGCCTCGTTCTCGTCTGATTTTAGATTGGTTTTGGCGGGGAAATGATCGCCGTAAATCATTAAGGTTAAGTGTGTTACCTCTGGCTCCAGGCTGGGGATAATCGCTCAGATTATGGAGGCAGGAGATAGGGGGGCTGAAAGCGGAGTGATATGTATGGTGATGCAGGGTGGGAGGTGAAGTTGCTTACTGGGTGGGTGGGTTGGCACGAGCAGTACGTATTTTACAAGTATACGAATGTACGTTATGCATGTTTTAACTTGGGGAAAGATTTAAGCCACGACTGTGACGCAAATTACTTTCTTCGTGACACCCCACCCATTCCGACACAGCCCTTATTTGGTACAGTGTACTTTGATTTAACCAATAATTTTCTCCACAGTTCGATTATTGTGTTTATTAAAGTCATATAAAAATGGATTATTGAGCTAATACTCCTTGTATCTGGATTATAGCTGCCAATTCTTTCTTTCTCGCCATAACAGAGTTCAGAGGCGTCTACGCGGCCTTATGGGTGATGAATTATCTTTAAACCTACAGTCCCTTTCCCATTGGTAAGGAAAAGAGTCCATTTTCTTCCAAATACATTCTTCGTGGAACAGACTGCCAAGAGGAAATTTCCCAATCACTACAAATTTAACCTCTGTCTATCCTACCTATCCTCTTAAGCTGCACTTCTTACCTTCTCTTACATCCATAAAACAACCCCATCTAGTAAAACTCTACATTGAGCGGCTCATGGGTCTTTTATTAGGTGAACAATAGTGTAAAAGAATAAAAAATAAATATTCCATGCGGATCGTTTATTTGAACCGGCACGCTTATTGTATTTGTTGAAAAGCTTTCCCCGGCATCACTATTCTAGTCTGTACATGTATTTAGTACAAAATGGTACTGAAATTTCCGAATCTTCTTTTAGTGGCTCCCACTACTAGCAAAAAGGAATGGAGTAGGATTCTTTATGTTTGTCTGAGTGAATGAAAATCTCAGTACTCCAATGTTATTTCTATAATTATTATTCTTGGTTAGGTTTATTTTGTTTTACGACATATCAACACCTCAATGGGTTATTAAATGCCGACAAGATTTTTAGGATGGGTTCGAATGAATAGAATATGTATTCTTTGTAAGCAATCAGTTTGTTGATCAGGTTTCATTGAAGTATTTTTGTGTAAGAGTTTTTTTGTTTTTTTTTGTCGAGAGTCAAATGTATTGCTGGTAATTTTTTTTTTAAATGTTTTGACGGTAATAGCTTTTTTTTCAAAAGTGTATTGCTGCTGTTTTTTAAATGTATTGCTGATAATTTTTTTCCAAAGTGTATTGCTGGTGTTACCTTTTTTTTCGAAAGTGTATTACTACTATTTTTAAATGTATTTCTGGTAATATTTTTTCCAAAGTGTATTGTTGGTGTCATCTTTTTTTACGAAAGTATATTGCTACTATTTTTAAATGTATTGCTGGTAATATTTTTTTCCAAAGTGTATTGTTGGTGTCATCTCTTTTTTCGAAAGTATATTGCTACTATTTTTAAATGTATTGCTGGTAATATTTTTTTCCAAAGTGTATTGTTGGTGTCATCTTTTTTTACGAAAGTATATTGCTACTATTTTTAATTGTATTGCTGGTAATATTTTTTTCCAAAGTGTATTGTTGGTGTCATCTTTTTTTTTCGAAAGTATATTGCTACTATTTTTAAATGTATTGCTGATAATAACTTTTTTTTTTCAAAAATGTATTGCTGGTAAGTGCATTGCTGCTATTTTTAAATGTATTGTTGGAAATATTTCTTTTTTTAAAGATGTATTGCTGGTATTATATTTTTTGAAAGATGTATTCCTGCTAATTTTTTTTCAAAAATGTACTGCTGGTAATATTTTTACTATAAAAATCTATTTTTATATTTTCATTTTATTTTACACCCCAGTTTAAGGGTTAACCATTTGCTCATAGCTGGGACCCTAACAGGTGCTACCACCCGAGGTCAGGGTGGACCTGGGAACAATATCAATTAATAGGTGGTTCCACACTTGTAAAAACCTCCTGATCAGAGGCCTTGCTACTAGATGTAGTTTATCGTCATACCCAGGACGTTATTATTATTCTTATTAGTATTTCTACAACTACTACTACTAATAGGTACTGTAATACATCCTATGTTATTCATAACAATATTAGTAACTTAGTATAGCCACTTAGTGACCATGCTTAAATGTTTCATTGTTTAACATATCAAGAAAAGAAAAAAATATCATATAATGTATGTTCTTGAAAAATAAAGTTTACATATGATACTAAATGTTTGTGTTATTTAACAGCGCAATGATAATGAATTCTAATTAGAAATCTAGATTGTTATCTTAAATCTTGTTATTTCAGACTACTACAAGAAAAAATGATTGGCGTGAACGCAGACATAGCTCTATAACATTATTCGAACTATTGTCCTCATCTTTGTCGCCATATTTACTACAACGTTTCGGCCGTTGTACACTCCGGCCTTCTTCAGGTGGTTGGAATGTCGAACTGAACCCTGGGGTAGACTGTTCTAGTTTCACGTGTCATGTTTAATGGATGTCAGTTATCTCCTATTAATTTCCCTCTGAAAGTTCTCCACTGCCTTAACCGGGTATTGAACTCACACTCTTTGGGTCCTGTCACTGGATCTAACTAACGCCTTTATCCACTGTGCCATGTGTCCTTGGCACGTGGAATTAGAACAGTCTATCCAGTGAGCGAAATAAAGGGTTCAGTTCGACATTCCAACCACCTGAAGAAGGCTGGAGCGTACAACGGCCGATACGTTGTAATAACTATGGCGACAAAGGTGAGAATAATAGTCTGAATAATGTAAATAGTGTACATAATACCTCATCTCAGAAATATAGACAGATAGCTCTATAAATCAAGAATGGAAGATTTGTTTATGTTACTTGTGTGTGTTGCTCAGCAGATTTTTTGAAAATGGTTGTGTAATCGTCTCTTGAATATTGCATCTTAATGTGAAATCAAAGAGTAAAACTAGTTTTATTACATTTATAACTGTAGTACAGCATTATAATGTGAATTGTTTTCAACTAGAAATATTTACGTCGGTAGATACTAAACTGAGGCAGTTGTTAGCTTACTGCGATCCATAGCGCAAGCATACTAGCGTACTTACCAGTGCAGGGTAGCTTTTTGTAACTGTTGTATTTGTATTGTATTAGACCCCTATTTTGGGGGTTAATTTTTAAGATTTATAGATTGTCTTATATGTGGAAATATATCGTAAAACAAAAATTAAAACTTAAAAGCCTTAGTATTCACACATAAATGTTTCTTTGCTTAACATAGCAAAAAAAGAAAAAATATCGTATAATGTATGTTGTTGAAAAATAAAGTTTGCATATTATATTAATGTTGCTGGTGCACCGCGATGATAATGAATTCTAATTAGAAATCTAGATTCTATGTTATCGTAAATATTGTTATTTAAGACAACTATGAGAAATAATGATTGGTGTAAAAATGCATCCATAGCTCTACAAATCAAGAACGGGAGATTTGTTTTGCAGTTTATTTAAAGTCAAAAAATAATTTTAGATTGTAAGAATACTTTACTGATAATTTACTAATTAATCCATGGACGGGGGGAGAAAGAAAGTGAATATAACTAACTCGACGAATTGGAACTCAGCTGCCCGATTTAGATTTCCCAGTCGTTATCCATTGCACCACATGCACATTGAAGCTTACAGAACCTGATATTCCCAAGCGGTCACCCATCTAGGTACTGACCAGGCTCGACATTGTTTAACTTCGGCGATCGTACGTGAAATCGTCTCCCCGATTAATAATTCCTAGTCATTATCCATAACACCACCCGCACATCCAAGCTTACACCACCTGGTATTTCCAAGTGGTCACTATCTAGGTACAGGCCAGGCTCGACGTTGCTTAACTTCGGTGATCGTACGGTAACTCGTCTCCCCGATTAATAATTCCGAGTCATTATCCATATACATCAACTGCACATTGAAGCTTACAGCACCTGGTATTCCCAAGTGGTCACCCATCTAGGTACTGAACAGGCTCGACGTTGCTTAACTTCGGTGATGATACGGGAAATCGTCTCCCCGATTAATAATTCCGAGTCATTATCCATTACACCACACGCACATCCAAGCTTACAGCACCTAGTATTCGCTTCCCAAGTGGTCACCCATTTAGGTACTGAACAGACTCGACGTTGCTTAACTTCGGTGATGGTGCGGGTAATCGTCTCTCCAATTAATAATTCCGAGTCATTATCCATTAAACCACCCGCATATCCAAGCTTACAGCACCTAGCATTCGCTTCCCAAGTGGTTACCCATCTAGATACTGAACAAACTCGACGTTGCTTAACTTCGGTGATGGTACGAGAACCGGAACAAGTCTTATGGGACAGGCATGATAAACAAAACATATTGTCTCATAAGAGTTTTTACATTTAATCTAAGACATCTTTTTGTAAATGTCAAAATTGCGTTAGGGCAGAAATCCGCCTGCTATCAACATGGCTGATGTTAAAGTCCAGGAGAGAAACACTCTACACCTTTCTGGCCTCACGTTTTTCCACCGACTTGAAGTGGAGCGAATCAATAGCTGCATCTACTGCAAGGAAAGTTGGTTCAGTGTGTCGTGCCAGAAAATGTTTATCGTTAGAATCCATCTTGCACATTTATAAATCCAAGATCCGTCCGTGCATTGAATCCTGATGCCATATCTGGTACTGCTGCTCCTGCTGCATATATCGAGATTCTTGACAAAATTCAAAGAAGAGTCTATAATGTAATCGACCCTGGCGGAGTATCCCGACTTCAGTTACTTTCTCATCAACGTAACGTGGCTTGGCTTCCCACTGTCCTTTCTATAAATATTTTCATGGCAACTGCTCTGATGAGCTATTTTTGATGGTGCCTTGAATACTTGAATTTATAGATGATACTGGATTGACAACTAGGTCTCGCTTTGTTACTATTGAACTAGCTACATCTATTCTGACAGTTTCTTTTCTCACACTTATCACTTGTAGAGCACTCGTCCGATTTCTTGATTCCCTGACAATAAATATTATTTATAACAACGCTGGTTTGTTTTCAAATTGCTTTTTAAGAATCAGCTATTAATTATTTTATTGCGCTAACAGTTGTAGTTCTTTGTGGAATAAATGAAAGGGTAGCTAAAATCAACATTCGTGAACTTGAAATTTAGTTTCTTCAAGAGACTCAGTCGCCGGGAACTATCTCTAAAACACATCGGAAGCCAGCACAGAATTTGTGTGTGTGCATGTGCGAGTGTGTGTGTGTGTGTGTGTGTGTGCGCACGCGAGTGGGTGAATGCAGACGCGTGCGCATGTGCAGATTGCCGGAAGTAGGAAGAGCAAAGAGACCGTGGCGAACGAAAACCGGAGAGGAAACAGAGCGGAAGCAAGATTAACAGGATGCGGAAGTGAGGCTGACAGTTGACGGTTGGGCGGGCTTGCTGGGACAGCAAGCGTTGACATCCGGGAACCACCTCCCCTCCGTTGCCACCCCACTGAAATCGGGGTGTTGAATCTTCGAGATGTCAGCCACACTATTTTCTTTCCTTTTTACCGGTTCCTGCAACATCTCGACAAATATGAGAAAGGTCGATGTCATTGAAGCACTGGGGCATTATTCCTGTCCACACCCGCCCGACGAGGACAACAACGATAATAATTACTAATTCTACGACGATTATTATTATTATTATTATTATTATTATTATTATTATTTCCTTTGATTTCTGTTGTATACACGTTTCCTTCTGGGTCCCAACCAGAGACTTAAGGTCAGAAATGGCTTCATGTCATATTCCACTGATCACACACATTTTACATTTTGTTCTCGTGGTCTTTGATCACGATGTCTGAGCGATTAGCTTTGATTGTTCTGCCTGTGTGTATTTTAAAGTCCCATAAAATGGTTCCAGGTCCTATCTCTGTAACAGGGTCTTTCTTGCAGTTTCCTTCCCGTAAAAGTTGCATATTTTCCAGTGCACTTATTGGTCACTCTATCATGCCGAGTCTTATATTTAGTGGATACCAGTACCGTGCAACCTGATACAAGATAATCCATTGTTTCTGGATATTTATCACATAATCTGCATTTCGGATTAACTCATTTTTTCAGTGTGTGCGATTGGTAATTTCTAGTTTGCAAGCATTGGTCCTGTACAGCCAGAATAGAACGTCCGGTTTCAGCTTTTAAACCTGCACTACATAACCACGGATGGGTACGAGGTTGGTCTACATCAGCTTGTCTGGTACGGGCGGAATACTGACCATGATGAGGCTGATTTTATCATCATTTCTGCATTTGTTACATTGTATTTGCTTTTGCTATCATTGTTATGTTCTTTGCCGCTTCCGTAGATGCATTATGGTTTATTTGCACTTCTTCTTCTTCTTCTTCTTCTTCTTATTATTATTATTATTATTATTACTATTATTATTATTATTATTATTATTATCATAACATCACTAGCGTCACATAAAGTTCTTCTTAGTCTGTGGGCTGTATTTATCAAGACAATCTTTTGTATTTTCCTTAATCTGGGATTTTCAGGAACACTTTCAATGTGTTGTTGTGTTCCTTTTTTATCATTCCAAGCGCACCTAATATGACTTTAACTACCCTTGATTTCAATTTCCACATTTTGTTTTATTTCGTTTTCCAGATACCTATACTTCGTAATTATTTTATTATTATTAATAGTAGTAGTAATAGTGGTGGTGGCAGTATTAGTAGTAGTAGTAATATTATTATTATCATTTGTGTATGTTATATTTCCTGCTTTGTATCGTGTAGAGCCGGGTTCAAACTATGATCCTTAGGCCCTGTAGGAGAATTGCCATTTAACTGATAGCACTTTTCTTAGTATATGGGATCTTCCTAGTAAGGCAATTTTCTGGGCAACTTCTATGTTGATGTTACCTGGGACACTGTTAGTATTTTTTTTTCTTGAGGCCCAGTGCTCCGATTATTATTGGTACAGTCTCAGTCTTCATTCCCTACTTCCTGTTAATCTCGATCTCCAAGTCCCCGTATCAGTTCAATAGTAGTTTTTCTCGTATTACACATTGAAAAATACAACTTTTTGAAGTGAGAGAGAGAAAATATGATTTTTCACTTCTGATCTTCACTCGTAATTCTTTACCGAACTAAGTTTCAATAGCTTTAGACCTTTGATATATTCTTTATGATTTCGCTGTTATTGTTACAATCATCATAATAATAATAATAATTATGTTCCTGTAATAATAATAATAATAATAACAACAACAATAATATAAATGCTAATAGTAATAGTAGTCTTAAATATTGATTAAGAAAGCAATAATTTAATCAATTTTTGATGTTTTCTCGGATGCTTTCGAGTTCTATGTTAGGTATTCTTTTTTCTTTTTTTCCTGATGATGTCACATGTGCCATGATATCTACGAACCTCCCCACGCAGTCAGATGTGGCACAAGGCCGAGTTTAACGTGGGGTATTCCAAGCCCGTAGGCTCGGCCAAAAAATCCCCGTAGACCCCGTATAAAACGGGGCCGGGTAGCTGTTTCCCGAGACGAGACTCTGCCCTTCGACAGGCGGTCGAACCAACTAGCTAGTTTGCCTATTAAACCCACAGCCACGATGACTGAGGTCCACTCCTGTCCTTTTGATTCATGAACAATGTTTCGACCGAAAGAATCTAAGTTCCGACAGTCCTCAAAAAGAGAAGGTAAATACATCACCTTTTTTCTTTGATATTATTGACCAAACTCCTTTATTTTATATACATGTGAAATTCTAACTATTTTTCTAAGAAAATAATATAATTCTTTGTCTAGCGATGATTTCCCATCCATCGCCTTAATCTTAACTGTATAAGGATTTCCTCTCCCACTCCCTCATATAGCTACACATTAAACCAACTACTTTCTGGGCTCTTTCACGCTTAGTAGCTTGTTAGCATTTCCCAACGTGCATTGTTTAAACCTCAACCTGACAGTTTATAAAAATTATTATATGTTAAATAAAACCCACTTTTCGTTATTACATGTAATCTTTTCCTTTAATTTCGAAGAATCTGTTTCATTTCATTTTGTGTTGTGCCAGCCGTAAATGTACGCTCTTGCTTCTTTAAAGATCTGTGAGATAAATGAATGTGAAAAGAAATAATGCGGAAGTTTTTGCAGCGTCCCCAATATAAGGCCCGAGAGCTACTCAAAGCAGAGAAGGTTATTAAATGAGGCTATTATATGAGCGTCAAAAGAGGCAAGAAGTGAAGTTGTTGGGCTATGTAGGATAGATAATGGCTGAACCGAGACTTGAAGAAGCTAAGGTTATAACGATCGGAGAAGTATCCTCGCAGAAATCTGTTCCACAAAGCTGCGGTTTTGCGGAAGAATTTGTCCGAATGGAACTTCTTCCTTACAAATGGTATATAAAAAGATTGAGACTGATCCCCGGGTACATATCATTGTAATTAATAGCAGTAGTATTCCTTAATTTCGATTTATTGTTTGAATTAATCATTTATCAACTCTTTCTCTTGGGACCGAAGAAAGATAAATAATCTTCTTAAGAATTTCCAGTGTTCCTACAACTACCTGGCTACTGCGTTAGTGAACAAACGGAGTGCTTAATTAAAGGGGGATAACCGAGACGCCCGAAAGAGGCATGGCATGTAGAACTAGAACAATCTACCCCGGTGGACGAAATAAAGGGTTCAATTCTAAATTCCAATCACCTGAAGAAGGTTGGAGCGTACAACGGTCGAAACGCCGTGAATATGGCGATAAAGATGAGGACAGCAGTCCGAACAATATAAATAATGTAAATAATTACAATACCTCATACCCGAAATATAGACATTATATAATTTATTTTCTTACTCCCATAACATTTGAATTACCGTTGTATACACATTTCTTTCAGGGTCCCAACAAGAGGCCTAAGATCACAAATGGCTTCATGGCATCTTGCACTGATCATAACCAGTTTACATAGATAAAGCTTTTCGTAAAGTGCGAGTACATTTTTTTTATTTCTTTAAGGCCTGGGCTACAAGGGAT